ACGCAACACTTTAATTCGTAATCCTTGTCAATTTATCTTATGACATTCTGCTCACCTTTCAGATAGAATGCAACATAAAGAAGAGCTGACCTTTGTATACTGACAAAAGGAAACTTTGGTTTGAGTGACCCGACAGCTGTCATTGCTTTAATCACTGCAACTGCTACCCCCTAGAGACGGAAGAAAAAAAAGGTTCAATTCAAAGATAATTCAAATCCACACAATTCATGACATAGAAAATCTTAATTTAATAAGAAATCTAACCTGTTCCAGGTAGCCCAGTGTTGGAGGTAAGGGAAACAGGCTCACAGAGAGGAGGAACCTTACAGGGCAGCTTTTGGTCCCAGTAGGTTTTAAGCAGCCTTGACATGTTAACATATTCCAAGAAAAAAATTGTTATTGTTTTGCAAGAAATAAATATAGTGATCTAAAAGCACACTGCCCCACTGCAGATTTCATTCGGTTTTTTGCCCCTTTGCCTTTCATAAATGTTTCAGATCATGTAATACATTTTCAGAACAAAGATTGACCTGAATACACACAAGTTTCAAATGATTTAATTTCACAAAAAGGAAAAAAAAAAGGTATAAATCAATCTGGAAACAAAATTACTACCCCTAAACCTCATAATCTTAATAGTAAAATAATTATTTATCATCCAATATAGTGTTTAACTACAACAGCCTTATAAACCTGTTTTTAGATTTAATTTATTCATCCTTTTTTTTGTCACTCTTCCTCTAAGTCGACTTTAGGACTTCATTTAATTTCTTCTCATTGGAGGGTTATCAAGCATAGACATCCTGTTTAAGGTAATTTCACAGCTTCTCAATCTAATTTACTAAATCCAGACTTTGACTATTAAACTTCACATTCTTTTGTTTTGGGGTTGCTGGAGTGCTTTACATTAATGTGTAGTAGTTTGCTTAAGTTAAAGGTCACACATTTGCAGCAGGACATAAGGACTGCAGAATTGAATTATTTTTTCTAATGGAGATTTATTTTTTATGTTAGATGCAATTTAGTGCATTTCTCCATAAAGAAGATTTTGTGTTTTTTAATAAACAGAAAAAAATGCTCCAAAGGTGAGATCTTTTTTTAACAGTGGTTGCTTTTTTCAGTGAGCAGTTGGTTTGGTCTTCCACAGTCTGTTATCCTAGTCCAATCAACTAGGGCTGCAACTAACGACTATTTTGCTAATTGATTCTTAATTGGATGGAAAAAGGTTCCTTGAAGAAGATTTTAGGCATAATTTAAAGCAAGTATCTGTACCTTTTGACAACTTCTGGCTAGAACATATGAACAGATAAAGGTTTTTATCTTGAATGTAAAAAAAATTTATTTTTTACAACTTGGGTATAATAAGGGATGTGAGTGGGTAGCTCTTTAAACTAAAGGCATGTTTTAGTTTCAATATTGAAGTTAGAAATGAATCGATTGCTAAATTAGGTGACGATGTCAATAATCGCTTAATCCAGTTAGTTGTTTCAGCCCTAAAATAAACACTGATCTTGACTAAGATATGCCAGGCCCTCAGGGGTCTGGATTTTATTCTGGTTTCCTGGATGTGTTGTTTAGTTGCTATTGGAAAAACTTTGGACACTCCTTGCACGGTTAATCACTAATTTATGTCTTTGCATTTGTGGATATTTTCTTTTGTCTGGAATCCCAAGA